AATAAGAACCAAGATGCATTATGTAAAGGTACAATTCCCAATGAGAAATGTAATTGTGTTGTATACCTACAATGTACCAATAAAAGAATTTAAAACAAAAAAAAAGTTTGTGTGTCTGGTTCATGTCACTTAACAATGTATTTTTCATATGCATCCATTTTCCTACAAATGTCCAAATCTTTCATTCTTTATAGTAGAGTAGTATTCCATTATATAGAGATACCACATTTTCTTTATCCAATCATCTGTTGATAGGTATACAGGTTGCTTCCAGGATTTAGCTCTTGTGAGTTGTCTTGCTATAAACACTGGTATGCATCTATTGCTGTAGCATATCTTAAGCTCTTTGGGGAAGATACCTAACATGGGGGTCACTGGGTCACATGGAATTTCTAATTTTTTTCTTTGAGAAATCTCTATACTAATTTCCATAATGGTTATAGTACTTTACATTCCTACCAACAATGAAAGAAGGTTCGTTTCTTACCTTGCCAGCATTTGTTATTGTTTAATTTCTTAATGATTACTGTTCTTTCTGGAGTAAGATGAAATTTTAGCATTGTATTAATTTGCATTTCTCTAATAGCCAGAGATGTTGAGTTTTTCTTATACATTTGTTGACCATTTGCATTTCTTCCACTGTGAAGTGTCTGTTCATTTCTCTTGCCCATTTCTTGACTGAATCTTGAAGTGGTTTAAGTTTTTGTGTTCTTTGTATATTCTAGATATTAGTACTCTGTCTGAGGAGTAGCTGGGAAAAATTTTTGCACACTCTGTAGGTTGTCTTTTCACTCTAAAGATTGACTCCCTTGCTGTACAGAAGCTTTTTAGTCTGATATAAACCCATTTGCTGATTCTCACTGTTATTTCTTGTGCAACTGAAGTTCTGTTTAGAAAATCCTTCCCTACAAATATGTCTTTAAGTGTTTTACCTATTTTATTTTCTAGTAGGTTTAATGTGTCTTTTTAATGTCTAGATATTTGATCCATTTTGACGCCACTTTTGTATACGGGGAGAGAGAAGGGTCCAGTTTCGATCTTCTGCACACAGATAATCAGCTGTTCCAGCATCACTTGTCGCATAGGCTACCCTTCTTCCAACACGTGCTTTTGGCCCTATTGTCAAAGATCAAATATACGATTGTGTCTGGGGAAGTTTCTGTATCCTTTATTTGGTTTGAAAAACCAAAATTGCTTTTGCTCTTCTGGGTCTCTTTTGGCTCCATATGAATCACTTCTAGTTATAGGAGCATCCACAGACTCAATCTTAGGATGGAAGAGCAGTGCAAGGGCCTTCTCAAGAAGGGCACCTTCTGATGAAAGTCACATGGGAGAGGCTGCTGTGGGTGCTGAGGCAGAGGGGCCACAGTCCCGGGGACCATCTCCTGTGGTGCCTGTATCCCTATGTCCCCAAGCCTCCTGTTCCTCATCTCTGATCACCACTCTGTCCCCTCTCCACCATGGTCTCTGCCACCATTCTCCCTTCCCACTGAGGGCCAGGTAGAGCTGAGAGGGCAGAGCCAGGAAGTGGGGTGCGGGGAAGAGCGACAGAAGAGCTCAGGCTCATACTCACCCCTCCAGGGAGCCCAAAGACTCTCTCCAAATCTGGTGGGGTGAGGATGTCTCTGCCCACCACAGAGCCCTTGAAGCCAGGGGCATAGGCCTCGATGCATTCGAATACTGTGTGCCCAATGGCAGGGGACCAGATGGTATTGGGAAAAAGAGGAGTAGGTGTTATGCTTGTACAACTAGGTGAATTTACTAAAATTCATTAAACTACTTGCTTGAAAGCGTTTTTAAAAGGTACATTATACCTCAATAAGTAAAAAACAAACAAAAATAGTGCACAAAGACAAAGGGTCTTAGACTAGCACACGCCCCATCTTTTCCTATCTCCTTACCAGAAGCCTAAACACAAAGCTGTTTGCCTCTTCTGGAAGATGCAAAATATTTTTCATCTCATTGCTTTGCTTTGCTTAAGCTGCTTCTTTTTGCTTGAAATGCCCTTCACTCTCTGGCCAACTCCTATTCATTCTTTAAAACCCAGATCAAATGTCCCTTCCTTTGAAAGCCTTCCTTCTCATTGACTTCCTCCTTTGGTTCAGTAAAATAACTAGTACTGCAATAACTAGTTGGTTGGTCTCCCCAACCAAACTGTGAGCAACTTAAGAACAACTTGTTCTTTTGGCTTAGTCCAGTGCCTGGCCCCACCAGAAGTTCATCCTTTGATAGGAAGTTCCCTCCAGCACTCTTCTCCCCTCAGGACAGCACATGTGGGTATTTATTCATCCTAAACGAGGCAGTCAGGAGGGGAACTTCCCCGTAGGTCACATGGCAGCTGTGTGGCCCCCTTTACCTTTGTCTGTGTAAGCATTTCTCTCCTGCTCATCCCAGATCTTGCCTCCCGCCAGAGTGTAGGGCGTGTACTGGGTGAAGAGGGAGATGACGTGGCACCCGGGAGGAGCCAGTGTGGGGTCCAGCGAGGAAGGGATGCAGAGCTCAATCATAGGCCTGTAGGGAAGCAGGAGGGAGAAGGGCTGGCCCAAGGGGAGGGCTGGGGAGCCACTGAGAGGAGACTTGACACAGTAACATCCCTGGGGCAACACTGGTGCTGGGCCACTTGTCACTGTCAGGCCACAGTGGTTATTTTCCATTCACCGTCTAGTTCCTCTCCAACAGCAAATCTCATCATCTCATTGGCTTTACCTTCAAACTACACCCAGACCTGGCTACTTCTCCTTGCTTCCACTGCCCACCCACTCTCCGGTCCAAGCCACTGTCCTCTTTCTCCCTTGGATTTTGCTTTAGTAACCAATTGCAACAAATGCCCTTCCTTTTTGTTTATACAGCAGCCAGGGTGGTCTTTCTAAAGGATAAGTCAAGATCTGTGGAAACTTTCCTGGAGTAAAAGTCAAGAGGAGTCCACCAGACCTGATAGGATCTGGCTGTCCTGGTTTGCAGGCCCTCAACTCTCAGGTACTTTCTCTCCAGCCACTCTCTCCTCATCCCTCTGCCTTCAACGTCACCACACAATCCCACCCCAGGGCTTTTGCACCCGATCTTCCTTCTGTCTGGATGTTCTTCCTCCAACACCATCAAGACCTGTATTCTCCCTTCCTTCAGTTCTCTGCTCAAATGTCCCATTACCAGAGAGGCCTCTCCTGGCCTCCTAACCAGTAAACCCTCTCCTTCTTCCCTGATTTTCTTCATGGTGCTTATCACTGATACATTCTGTGGATCATCCTACCTTCTCTCAGTGGAAGGTCAGCAACTGAGGCACAGGCCTGCTGTCTTTGCTTGGCACAGAGCAGGGGCCCCCAAACATTTACATATGGATAAAACACTTTGCCCTGCACTTTTCTCTCTAGGTCCACATCGTCTTTACCGTAAGATACAAATGTTTGTGTCTGACAGATCACAAGCTTTTTTTTTCCTCCTTTGTGCCTCTGCCTGGCCCCGAGGGCCTCTGACTTACACCCAGTACAGAGCCTTGTATGAGGAGGTTTTCTATCTGTTGGCTGACGGACAGGATGGAAAGTTGTGGGGCTCATAGTGTCCTTGTCTGCCTAGAAGATAGAGATACAGCTGGAGCAAGACATAAGAATGCTTTTAGAAGCTTTGCATGAAGGCAGCTTATCTGGCATAAGGGAAGGTGCCAACTAGGGGCTCAGTGTGTGCCCCATAGGTTTCTGAATCAGAGAACCTCATTTCTCTTCCAGAAAGCACCTTCTCTTCTTCCCAACACCAGCACTGTCCTGCTAACTTGTTGTTCTTCTGCTAACTTGTAACAATCCTTGACATGTTCTGCTCTTCACACCCACCTGTCTTGTCCACAGATTTCTCAACTGGGATGCACTTCCTGTTTTTAGATCTTAGATATGGAATGAGGCAGGTCCTAGGTCACCACAAAGGTTCAATGCCAGGCTGAAAGACCAGTTTCTGCTGTGTCTGGACAGCCACTTGTCACCCCTGGCCCCTGCCAGAACATCCAGGGGACGCCAAACTCGAGCCAACCTACCTGTGGGAAGGCAGGCCGCCCTTGGCATCTTCAAAGGCCTGATGGAGGAGAAGGGTGTTTTCACAGTTCAAGTGGATAGAGCACTGGTGATGGGGAAGCGGCTGGCCTCTGGGAGCATTAGGGGCTGCCAGAAAGTTGGGCAGCCTATCCACAGCCACTGAAGAACCAAAGAAGAGGGTCAGATCCCTGGCTGTGCAGGGCCCTCACTCTGTAATCATCACCCGGCTCACCCACAGGTGGACTGGAAGCCTGAGAGTGTAAAGAAGTGGTTCCCCTTCAAACTGGGGGTAGGCTGGAGGTCAGGGGATGGAGACAGTGTGGGTGGGCTTTCTCAGACATGAGCATTTCCCACTCAGAGAGTGCCAGAAGACTCAGTTCTGCCATCGGGTGTTCTTACCATTGATCTTGGTAACAGGAGACTGGGTGTTCAGCTGGGAGATTCTCTCTATGAATGCCTCCGGAAGCCACTCCTACAGGGAGAAGACTCTGTGAAAGGCTATAGCCAAGGCCCCAAGGGAAGCTACCTCCTTCCTTTGCCCAGGCGAGTCCCTCAAACTGTCTCTGGAAATCCTCTTCATTCACCAGAGCTTAGCCAAGCCACCTCCTCCTCCGAGAAGCCATCCCAGGCCGTCCCACTCAGCCTTACCCCTTCATCCTCTGAGCACTGTCAGCAACTCCCACCCTGCCACTTTTCTCTTCTAGTCTATAAGCTCTGGAGGTCTTGGTATTTCAGAATTGGTTTAACTTCACAAGACTCATTGAACTGATGTTTATTAAATTTTTTTAGTGGTAAAAGAGTGGTGTTGTGTCTAACAGTCCTCAGAATGACTGGTGATTCTGTGCTCACATATACATTATCTGATCTTCTAGGGACAGAGAAAGTGTGGTCAATTGCAATAATTGCCCCAAATTCTCAGCCCTCTCTATGTGAATGCCCTTTGTCCATATAACTTTGGAGTATCCTTCCACTCTATGGGCTTGGCTGTGAAACTCGCTTTGGCCAATGTTAGAAAGTAAGATGCAAATAGAGCAAACAATATGATTTTTTCGTGACTGAACTTGTTGGCTTTTGCCCTCTGCCAGGCCCTGAGAACATGCCTGGACTACTGTGCTAGAAGGCTCAGAGACACGTGGGGAAGAGTCAAATCACCTTGGTCATTCTACCAGAAACTGTTCTGAACTAGCCACAGCCAGCTGATTCCCAGTCACGTGAATAAGTACAGCAGAGCTGGTCGGCAGACCGCAGGTACATGAGCAAGACTTGATCACTGCAATTCAGCCAAGATCCACCGAATTCTCCGTGTCTGCAAGCTACTATTTCTTTCTACTATCTGCCCCCGCAACTTTGTTTGGCTGTTTTGCAACATCAATATGATGACAGACCTTTGACACAGACAGTGGAATTAAAGTTGATGAGAGAATAGAAATCAAGATAGCAGGAAAGTTGTAGAAATAACTGTAGATAGAAGGTCAGATATGGGTTCTAGGGCTGGCTCAGCAAGTAACTGCCAGCTGCATGGCCTGGGTCACATTACCGCTCTTGACCTTCCTCCTTACCTATGCAGCTTCACCTTTTTCTTACCTGCCCATTACCTGCCCACTTTCCCAAAGAAGGAGACTTAGCACTCTTATCTCCCATACTTGCACAGTCCCGGTCCCCTTGGTGGCCCTGTGTTCCAGCCCCTCTGGCAGACATCTTACCTCCACTCTCGCCTCACCTGTGGCGTCAACTTCAGGAAGGTGACCTGAGGCGATGCACTGGACAGCACCACTTTGCTCCTGACCTCCAGGCCATCCTGTAGTACAACTCCTTGAACTCGGCCTTCACTGTTGACTTGTACCTTAGCCACTGTCTGGAGCCCACCAGCAAGAGGCCCCAGAAGCCCCAGGAAGGAAACTCAGATTAAATCTGGTTGGATTTCCACTGTTTGTGCTGCTCCTGGGCACTCAGGGTTCCTCCTCCCAATCTAGTCCTCCCAGCTTGGTAGCTTCTGGAGGGGAAGCCTTAGCCCAAACGTGGCTTAGTGACTGGTGACTTCAGAGGAGATGGTCTGAAAAACTGATTTCTTTGACCACTGCTCAGCCACTACAGGGTACATGACCCTACTAATGCCTGGATTTTAAGCCCTACCATTTACATCAGGAAAACAAGGGACCTCCCAAAGTCCACTGTTCTGTAGCCTTGCCTATAATTGGGGGAGGGGCAGGCACTCACCTTTTCAGTGAAAATACTTGCACCATGCACAGTGGCTGAGCTTGCAATGGCATCAGAGAGGGCACCCATGCCACCCTGGACATAGCCCCAGGCACCCCTTATTCCCTCCAGGCCTCCCATCACATGATGCAGCAGAACATACCTAAGGATAAAGCACAAAACCAGGTGCTGGAAATGGGATTCCACCCGTTTTAGGTCCAAATATTGCTTTTTGTCTAGTATCTTCAGCCTCTTCTTGCCCCCAGCCAGCCCTTTTCATGAGCCTTTAAATGAGCTCAGGTCCTTTTTCTTCTCATTCTCCCTGCAAATGTATTCAAGTGCAGTGCCTGGCTCACTGAGTGAGCTCAATGACAGTCGCTGCTGCTGCTCCTGCCCTTGTTCTCTCTGGGGAATGTGCTCCACTCCTGCTGGCCCTCAGTGCCCTCACTCACCCACTCCCCGGAGTGTGGGGACTTGTCATGGCTCCAATCACAGCATCTGTTGCTAGAGTGGCCTTTAGAGGCTCAGACTCAAACCACTGATCCAGCACCTGGACAGCAAAGTCACAAAGAGAAGGGCTTAGGGACCTGGCTAGCAGGATAGGTGCCCGGTCACAGCTCAGGCCTGAGGCTGGGAAGCACTGACCTTAGTAATGGGAGCTGTGAAGACCTGGTAGTACTGGGGAAGCTGGGCCCCCAGGATGCAGCCTAGAAAACAAAACCCACAAAACAGGAATGAAGACAGGCTGTGAGGAAACACTTTGATCTGGGCCTACAGGACAAGAGAACTGGGGTATGGGAGCTAGGGGAGCATTGGTGGATGCAAGCCACAACCCCATCTTTCCAGATGCATGCCTAGGACCTCCTTTTAATGTCTTTGAACTTGTTTCTTTATCTGTAAAATGGGAGTCATACTTCACAAGGACTATTGTGAGGATTAAATGACACATGTAAAGCATTTGCAAGTTCATAGGCACTTGATTACATTTAACTGTTAGTATTATTTTTGGAAAATTTTTAACTTTTACCTTATTCCCTTACTTTGAACTCTGTATGGTGCACTCCCTGGGAGGAGTCCATTTCTTTGATATGGACACAGCCTTTGTTCAGGCTTGATTTCAGCCACACCAGCCTGAGACCTCAGTGCTGGTTCCAGGTGGACTCAGTGGACATAGTCTACTAACTGGTTATGAGTGGCAGCTGTCTTGGAGGTTCAAGTTAAAATCCAGGAATCAAGAAAACGGGTTCTCCCACCCCACCCATGAAAGCCTCTCCTCATGCTCTGATGGACTCACCTGCCTTCAGCAGGGGCTTGAGGGTGGACAGGGCCTTCAGCTTCTGCAACAGAGAGTCATGCTGGAAGGCCACCATGTCCACAGGGGCTACATCCAGCAGAGGGTCAATGGCCAGTACCAAGCGGCTCATGTACTCTTCATATCTGGGAAAGGCCTAGAACAGAGCTCTAGATCAAGGCTTCACACTTCAAAATCCCACAAGGACAGTATCTCCATGTTCTGCCCTCCTTGCCACTCCTACATGGCCACCACACTCCACAGTAGAGCCCTGATAGTTCCTTAGGCTTCATTTTCTGTGTAGCTTGGTGTGGTCCTGCTGAGTCCTCCTACATCCAAGTCTGTGTTGACATCAGCACCAGGAAGAAAGCATGGGAGAGGCCACAGAGACCTCGGGAATATGAAAGCTACCAGAGAAAAGGGTTTGTGTAGGCCAATGCAGCCATAGAAAACTGGCAAGTATATGAGGGTGAGGGTGCTGTGATAAGAACATTAGAAGTTTTTCTCTCTGTCCTTCTATCTTTCCATATGTGACTGGTAGAAGTTAGACCTGTCCCACAAACCCCAGGGTGCTGATGTTCTTTCCTCATCTATCAGTCTGATGTATCACCTCCTCACACCCAGCAACAGAAGTCTGTATCCCCTCACCCCATAAGCCCCAACAGGAGAACCCATTTTCCTTAGCATCCTTTCTGATGCCCATCCACCCTCCACTAGACCAGTGACAGGGGCAGGAATGGGTGCCCATGCCATTGAAGGCCCTCCTGATGCGCACCCTAATGCTTTTAATGTGGGCTCAGCTATATCCATGAATGCACCCATGGAATTATAGTAAGTTACATAAAAAAAAGTTCTGTGTTGAAGGAAATTTGAGAAATCTTGATAAGAATGAAGCTAAATAGTTTTCTCAGCCATCCAGGGAGCCGCCTGGGCAGGGCCACGTGGGCAGAGCACCCTGGGCTGACTGAGCCCAGCTCTGGCAGCAGGCAATGCCCACTTGTGATCAGGAGCCAGTGAGGACCCCCTGGGTACGCCCACCACCCACCTGTGGAGCTGCACGGGGTGGGGGGGGCACCTGCAACAACAGAAGCCCCGCCCCCGCCCCCGCCCCCTACCTCTGGCCTCTTGGCTGTGTAGCTACCTGGTTCCACACTACAAAGGCACAGGGGGACATAAAGGCCACTGTCTTGAGTTGCAGAAGTGAAAATGTAATAAAAAATTTACCAACAAAGGAAAGCCCAGGTCCTGATGGCTTCACTGCTGAATTCTACAAGACATTTAAAGAAGAACTATCACCATTACTCTTTAAACTCATCAAGGAAATTGAAAGGGAAGCAAGGCTTCCAAATTCTTTCCTGGA